GTCGTCCTGGTCCATTGGAGAGGACAAAAAGGGCTGTCAAGAAGATCATCGAAATGGATCCCAGATTAACGACTGCACCCTTATTAAGACCTGCCAACATAGTCAGATGAAGAAGTGGGTCAAGTGATATGATGACCAAGCCTATGGACTTTTGGAAGACCGTATTATTCTCAGACGAATCAAGATTCGCTTCAATTTTTGGACAATGGAAGGATATGGGTTTGGAGAATGCCTCACCAAGAGTTTCGGCTCAACAGATTGCAGCCAACTGTGAAGCATGGTGGTTTCAGCGTGATGGTTTGGGAAGCTGTTTGAGTTGGTGGGAGATCGAGCTAAGTGGAGTGCTTTGGCAACATAAATTTTGCGAAATACGTCGAAATATTGGAGGAAGGACTCTTGCCATTTTATTCCTCGGGTTTCGTGGACAAGAACACAAGGTTGTTCCAGGAAGATGGAGCCCCGTGTCACATTGCTAGAAACACCCAAAAGTGGCAGGAAGAAAATGGTATCCAGAAGTTGCCCTGGCCGAGCCAGTCTTCTGACATGAACCCCATCGAAAACCTCTGGGCCATACTTGACCGGCAAGTCAATAACAAAAAAAAACAACTTCGAAGAGCGCTCTACTCCAAGTTTTGAAGCAAGAGTGGGCAAAAATCCCACAATCTAAAATTGACGAGATGATTCTCACGATGCCCCAAAGTATCAACGAACTCTACTAGATATTAATTAAATTATAAATATATGAATTCATGTGAATATGACTGAAAATTTTTTCTGAAAAGGTGGTGTCTATTTACTTGTGACCAAGCTGTGTACCCCATTCGATTTTATTACTCATCACGATCTCTACAAACTTACCCTCAAATCTAATTATATGCTCAAAGTAGCGCATCGTCCGTTATATTTATATATATATACATTTGGAAAATTTTTAAAAAACAAACTTGCTTGTCGCGGTAGAAAGAGCCATCGTTTCATGAAAGTTGCATGTCGATCGGTACCGCAACGGCCGACGGCGTGACAGACGGACGGCTTTATATAGTAGATCGTGGTCACAAATATTGGTGCTAATACGTATTAAGTGGGAACTGTCACATCTATATAACAGATATCTATAAAAGGAAATTAAAAAGAAGATGAACTTGTTGATGGGGTTATGAACTCAACGTGGCGCATGCTCACTCACTACTGAGCGTAAACTCATGGCAGTTAACGACATATAAGGAACAGATCGTTATCGCTACCTCGAACGTGCGGTTGTTGGTAGTTAATTTGCGTAATATGAGAGGAAAATATATAGTCAGCATCTTTTTTGAGTTTTCTTTTAATTCTTACCTTTATCTTTAGTTCCTAATTTGTTTCGTTAACGTTTTGTAGAAACAAATACCCAGTTTAGCTTATTGTTTTCAGATACAAAACTCTCGTGTCCAAAAGCTCAACAATAAGTCGTATGTACTAAAAAAAAGTATATTATTGCCATGTAGAAACAAAATGGATTTTAGAACCACATTGTGACGGACTTCTGCAACTTCAGTATGACTGCAAACGACAGCGGCGAAAAGAACGAAACGGATCATATTTTTTCTCCTTTCGTCTTCACTTGGACTGTAGCAATAGGGCTGAGAGTTGGATTATATATAATCATTTTTACTGCTGCCATCTTAGGCAATGTTTTAGTTATCGTAACTCTTACTCAAAACAAAAGAATGCGGACTGTAACAAACACATTTCTTCTGAATCTAGCCATCAGCGATCTTCTTCTTGGTGTCTTCTGCATGCCATTCACTCTGGTTGGAAGTCTGCTGAAAAACTTCATCTTTGGTGACGTCATGTGCCGGCTCATCCCTTACCTTCAAGGTGAGGTTTTTCATATAATTGACAGAAAGATTTACACTGTTTCTTTACCAACATAAACTTTTAAAGGCTGATAATAACATGTAAGATAACGTTTTCCAACAAAGAAACATAGTTCTAATGGTTTCCCGGTAGGTCAGTGGTAAGTTTATGGACTTACAACTCTAAAATACGGTGTCAGATATCTCACGGTGGACAGAGTACAGATAGCCCACAGCGACAAACTATATTGTTCTAATAATAAAAAAAATTGTGCTCAACTTCAGCAGTATAAATAACGAACGCGTCAGTGCAGAATTTAATGTTCAAGTACGTGAATAAGTGGTACGACGTGTCTTTTCAGGCTCTACATTTTTATTAATAACACCAAAAAACATTTTAAGTTGCAAATCCCGATAGTTTACAAAATAAGATATTCTACGTAATTTTGCAGTATGATAATAGGCGAGGATCGCTTGATATTTGAATATTTTATGTTCACAAATTTATGAATCGAACTTCGATACATTTTTATGTGTTTCCTGTTTCTGAGGAAGAAGTTTCTCGTCGTTTTATAAGCCCTAATATAATGTGCCCTTTAAATTGACCTTATATATTGAACTCTTGATTTGTTTCTGTGTTGTTAAGCACAAAACTACACAATGGGTTCTCTGTGCTCTGCCCGCCGCGGCTATCGAAATCCAATTTTTAACGTGAATAGCCATTAGACGTGCAGCTGAGACACCGGTGGGATGACCCTTGATCTTTGTATGAAACTATGATTTATTTGTTTAAGCAAAAAGTTGCATAAAGGGATATCTGTGTTGTGCCCATCTTAGATATCTAAGACCGACTTTTTGCGTTGTAAGCCTTCATGTTTACCGCAGCGCCGTAGGAGAGGGAGTGGGGTATGAGCTAATATAATGATATTTATTAAACGCAACTCCGCTGAGACCCTCCAATACCACCTGATAATTATAAATGCTACTTTTAACATAACTGGGCTCGGCATGGCCAGGTGGTTAGGGCACTCGACTCGCAATCTGT